TAGTAATTGTTGCAAAAGGGTTGCCCTAAGCTTGTTGCGAGTAGGTGGTTTCAATCGCGTACTGTTCGCCTGGGTTGTTGGACCGACCATGATGACTCGAGCGGGACTATGCCACATCATCCCTGTATCTAGCGATTGGGATCTCAACTCTGGCAGAATCAATCTGCGACTTTTGGTGATGCGAATGAATTCGCTAGTTTAGTGGCGTGAGCCATGTCAGAAGCGCATGCATTGTATTGTTGAAGGCTTTTCCGTCGTTCCGTCGCTTTCGGGATCCGTAGTTTCGGTTCAGGAGTGCCCGTAGTTCTTGGGTTTCGAAGGTTAAAGGTTGTTAGGGGTTGGGTGGTGGTGTGATGCCAGGCTTGGCAATTTATTTGCCAGCAAAAATGTTTACACCCGAAACAGTAGACTTCCAACATTAATGTCAACCTCCTATTAATACCCCCCCCCCCCTGATTGATTTGGCGCCCGGGGAGGGGGGGATTGATTATTGAGGGGGGGTCGGTCGTCGTAGTACAGTAGTATAGTATCACAATAGTACAGTAGTACAGTAGTATAGTACAGTAGCAGTACAGTAGTAGCACAGCCTCTGAGTCCAGCTCTTCCGTCGGACAAGGCACGTTTGGTAAAGTACCAGCAATGAACAATGATCCTGCTGTCCTCTCCCTCCTCCTTTGAAAGCCGAAGTTTTCGCAAGCAAGGGCATGGCTGCTAAAGGTAGGTTATTCCAACCAACGACTCTGCTCCCACAGCTTGCTTTTCCAATGAAGGGCTTGGCCTGTAAAGCTTGCTGTCCTTTTCAAGGCCTTTAAAGGCACCACCAAAAGGCCCTCCCCGGCGGGAGTTTATAATTGAGGGGGTGTTTATAGTTGCGAAGAACGGCCTTTGTTAGTACTCCGTCAGGATGGATTGATTTTTTGCTCCGGGAATAAGGAATTTTATTAAGGAAGGCATGGTTTCTGAGGCCCTCTAAATCTGAGTAGCTGCAGTTTCTCTCTCTCTGCAGACCTGAAGCAGTCGTAGTAGTTGCAGTTTCTCTCTTTCTGCAGACCTCAAGCAGCCCTAGTAGCTGCAGTTTCTCTCTCTCTGCAGACCTCAAGCTCTCGCAGTAGCTGCAGTTTCTCTCTCTCTGCAGACCTCAAGCTCTCGCAGTAGCTGCAGTTCTCTCTCTCTGCAGACCTCAAGCTCTCGCAGTAGCTGCAGTTTTTCTCTTTCTCTCTCTCTCTCTGCAGACCTCAAGCTCTCGTAGTAGCTGCAGTTTCTCTCCCTTTTTTTTTTTTTCTCCCTCTCTCTCTCTCTCTCTCTCTCTCTCAACCAACACACAACAACACAGAACAAGAAGTATCTAATTTTGGGGATTTGGGCCGGCAGGTTTTCTAATTGAGGGGGGGTTTATAATTGAGTTCCGGGGGTGGGGTTTTATAATTGAGGGGGTATTTATAAAAAGTAGGTCAACATTAAGTTTTGATTTGAAGCTTGCATAAACCCAAAAGCCCATGAAACGAGACACAGCGCACAACTTGCTACACTCTACAAAATGACATGCCGGAGACCCATTGTAAAGGGCCCCAAGTACTTGAACCCTACACCCCAAAGGCTGGACCCTACACTCCCTACACTCTAATGCTTGACCTCACAGCTCAAATGTAAGAAAAGCCCGGAAGCCGAAAGCACAAATGTTTTGGGGTTTCGTACACATGGCGAATAAAGTGCAACACTTCCTTCTGAGTTGTATAAAGGTAGGGGGTTTCGGGTGTAGGGTTGCGTAAGTGGGGTGCAAAGGAGTTTTCTTTTCAAGACAACGTTGACTTCGAAATCCTCGAAACCCGTAAGGCTTGAAAAGACGAAGTTTTGCGGAACCCGTATAGAAACCCACAGAGCAACTATGCTCGTTCCTTCAAAGCGAGTCTGGGAAAGCTTTGGTGGCTGAGTTGGTCATAGAGTGTAGGGTTTAGGGTTTTTTTATTCAGCCTTGTACAACAACTGAGAAGCCTTGAACCCTAACGCTTGGAAGCCAAAACCCCTTATTGTGACCCTGGAAGAACCCCCGTAATAGAACCTTTTTTGGAGTGTCAATACCCCAGGTTTTTAGCTGCGAGAACCCCTGAACCCCAAACCCGACACTCTAGCGCTCTAAACCCCATTCGGACTCTAAGCTCAAGCCCCCCTAAACCCTAAACCCTAAACCCTAAACCCTAAACCCTAAACCGTATTCGGACTCTAAGCTCAAGCCCGGGGTTCTGTCTCGGGAAGCTCAGCTTGAGGTTTCACAGACATGGAGGACCGTCTCCGTCACCAGGGAGCCCTTGGGATGCTAATGCCACCGGGCAGCTTTTATTTTCTTAAACATTCGGCTCTTGGGGTGTAGTGTAGGTGTTGAGGTTTAGGGTTTAGGGTTTCGGGGTGTGATTTTTGAGAGTTTGGATTTTTTGGGGGTATGTGCGGCTGTGTGGGAGGCGGCTGCGCTATTTTCCACCTCCAGTCTTCTTGGCGCGTGATTTTTGAGACATGTCCGTCTTCATGGTCTTGATGTTCTTAAGTTCAAACTTTCAGGGCTATAGGGCTTGAATTCAGGTCTAGGTGCAGGATGGTGCAGGGCTCTTAAGGTTTTCGGACGGTTTTATGCACCTCAGGAAGTGCATGGGAGAGGTTGACAGGGCCTTTCTGTATGTGGTTGCCGTGCGCTTCTTTTCTCAGGGTTTTACCCTTGCTGCAAAAGTTCTAAAATTTTGCTAGAAGGTTTTTTCTCTCAATCCCATGCTCCGTTAAGGTATACTGCTGCCAAAACCCTAAACCCTCCAAAAGCGCCGAAACCCCGCCGTAAAACTTCTGTAGAATCGTTGAGGAAGTCAGGAACCCCTGTGCTAGTTAAAGCACCTTATAATGATAAGACGTCTGTTCAACCTCTCCAGGCTGTGCGGCATCGTCTGGAAGGTCAGGTAGAACACCCTATCAAGCCTCCAGAGAAAAACCATCCAGAACGCTTTATGAAAACTCGGAGAAAACGATAACACACATCAGGAGGCGCCTCTTATCAAATCGCTAGAAAGCCTTGTGCTAGACACCCAAGAAAGACATAAGCATAAAAAAGTCTTCCCTACCTTGTTGGGATTCAGTACAAAAGTGTTCCTTTATGGGGTATCCCTATACTATTTCTTGCTTCTGTGCCTTTCCGGGGGCCCTTGTTGTAGAAGGCAGCTGGGACCGTTAGCTGCGCCTGCAGCTGGGGGCTTTCTGGCTGACGCGTTCGGTTGGTGCCTCCGGGCTTGCAGTTCTGGGGCTTGGGGGTTCCTGAAAGGGTTCCTTTAAAGGGTTCCTGAAAGGGTTCCTTTAAAGGGTTCCTTAAAGGGTTCCTTAAAGGGTTCCTTAAAGGGTTCCTTAAAGGGTTCCTTTCAGGGTTCCTTGAAGGGTTCTCATACAGCTACTGCAAGGCTTTAGGTTTCGAGGTTTAGGGTTTGATGTTTAGAGTTTGGGGCCTAAGACTTAGGGAACTTTGGGCGTAGGTTGTAGGGCATTGGAATTCGGGGGTTTGGGACCTTGGTTTCGTTGCTGCAGCTTCCCACTTACCTTTTGCGACCTCCGTGAAGTGCTAGCGTGGTCTCTTCAAAAGAAGACTAGGGCGTTTCTCAATGCTTAGGGGGATTCTTTTGCTTTTCTTTTTGGGGTGGGGGTCCTTGTATTGAGGATCGCATTTGACTTATTTGTCGGGATCCCTGCATTTTCAGAAGTTTCCTGCCCGTGCAGGTGTGCACTTTTATGATTCGGTGGACGATTGCTTAAGTTCTCCTCACCATATCATTCCTCACCATGTAAGGTTCAGGGCATACCCTGAGCCAGGATTCGGGGTTCATTGCTTCAGGGCTGTAGGGGGTCCGGGTTTAGGAAATTGATTAAGACTTCAGGGTTTAGGAGTTGGATACTGTCAGAAACCCTAAACCCCATACCCTGAACTTTAAACCGGAGGCGGTGCCCCTTCTTCCTGCTCTCCGGACTCTCCGCCCTCCTGGTGATCTTTAGCCTCTTCGTCGTGGAGGAAAGGATGGTTGAAAAGGTTTAGGGCTTTTGGGGTTTTGGGTTTAGGGTTTGGGGAGTTTAGTGTTCCAGGGTTGCTTTAAAGGGTTCCTCTGGTAGGGTTTAGGGTTCCCTTCAAGGGTACTATGGGGTTCTATAGTAGGGTTCCCTTTTTAGGGGTTTAGGGGTTTAGGGGCTCCTTTTTCAAGTGTTCTTTAGGGGCTTCAACTGGTCCTCTAGAGAGTCTCTGAAGCCAAGACTGGATCCCAGTCCCAGAGAGCCCAAGACCCCTTAATTAAGGAATATGGCTTAAATTATAAGGGGCTTCATATTATGATTTAAGCCATATTCCTTAATTGAGGGGTCTTGGGTCCTTGTAAAGTGTTCCGGGGTTCTTCGAAGGGGGCTCCTTGAAAATGACAGTCTGTCTTGGTTCTTAGGATGGTTATGGAGGGTTTAGGGTTTAGGGTTTAGGCTTCAGGGTTTAGGCTTCAGGCTTTAGGCTTTAGGGTTTAGGGTTTAGGGTTAATGAAGGGTTTAGGGTTTAGGGTTCTACAAGTAGGATGCTTTCTTTAAGCTCAGTGGTTTTTTTCTTCATGGTATCAGCCCAAGGGTAAGTCAGCCTGCTGTTTCCAAGGACCACCTTTCGCTTTCAATATAGACTGTCAGAGCACCTTGTGTTTATCCGCAGCAGGGCCTAAAGGTTGAGGCGCGCATTTGAAGGTTCGGTGGGTTTCGTAAGGGCTACATACAGGGGTTCAGAAAGAATTTTCCGAAGGTTGTTTGTACAGGCGTTCTAGTGGCTAAGGCGGCTAAGGGATCAGGGTTCATGGGATATAGGGCCAGCTCCTAGCTTAGGTCTTTTTATGAAGGATCCAGGGTGTGCGGCTTAGTGTCACCGTTGTGAGTGTTGGGTATGCAGCGCCATTTTGACTACCGCTGTCATGTTTGCAACGATGCTGATGACCCTAAGCCCTTAATCCCTTAGCCCTAAGCTCCGAACCTTGTTGTTCTTGCTGCGAGAGGCCCCGCCGGCCCCACCCCTCTTCCCGAAAAACAACAGACATTAGAAGATTCAGACATTTGAGATTGATATCGATTTCAAGGGTGGGTTGTGTTGTAGAATCAGCAAGGCCATTCGGAGCTGGCAGGAACTTGTCAAGCATGTCTTTCAGGATCAGGGAGCACATCAGCCATGATCTCAGGAGGATAACTTCGATAGTGAGGAGTGGTGCCTTTAGTTTCGATGGTCATGGCGTGCTGATTCAGTGGTGCGAATGCGAATGCTGATGCTGATTAAGATAACATCGATGCTGCTGCCGCCGGCTCTGCGGCTGCTGCTGGCAGCCAAAATGAAGATGGTGTTGGTAGTGATGGGGACAGCGATGGCAATGATGCTTGTGATGGTGAAGATGAAGAAGATGCTGATGAGGATGGAAGACCCTGCTGACGTTCTGATGAGTATTGCAATGATGCTGGTGGTGAAGATTGTGATAAAACTCCCAGACGATGCTGCTGTTGCTCATCGTGGATGCCCAGTTGAAGCTGATGATGTGATGAGGGTTGCGATGTTGGTGTTCCCTTAAAGAGTCTTGATAGCGATTACACTGGGGATGATGGTGGTCACGATGGAGATAACTGCAAGCTTCGCATTTAGCTTTGATTTCGATCTTCGTGTCTGGAGGAAACGGCGCCTGCGACCGTGGATGTGAGCCGCGGCAGATGATTGGGTGATTGGTCTTCTATTGCTTTGCCTAGGCTTGCGGCCTTGGACCGTCGAAGGTTCATGAGTGGCTCTAAGTCGCTTTGAAAGTAACCGAACTTTAGTTAGAAGTACTTACACACTTCGTGTAGAACTCTATGTAGGACATGAGGTCTTAGGGGGAAGATGGGGGAAGTCTCTTTTCCGCCCCAAGCTCCTAAACTCTAAACCTTAAACGCAATACATCCATCAAAGGACGAGCCTACTTCTTGCACGGGTTTACGGGCTAGGGTGTGGAGGGGCGATTTGGAACCCAAAATCCTGAGACCTAACCTCTAGAAGACTGAGCCACAGAGCCAGACGTATAGAGCCCTGAACCCTACATAGAGCCCCAACCCTTAGACCCTGATTCCACGGTGCTTTGAGGATGGGGCTGAGGTCTGCAAGGTGTAGACTTCCCTGAGGCACGGATTCCAGCTCTTCCTTGCTCGAATGCCTAAGCCGGGTTTGGGAACAGGATATGGGGTTGAGGGTTTCGGGTTCAGGGTTTCAGGTTCAGGTCTTAGGGTTTAGGGTTTAGGTAGAATCACCGGTGCAGGTGTTGATTTGGACATTGGAGTAGAAGCCGAATATTCGGAAACCTGAAACAGTAGGGTCTCAGTCCCTAGTATCCCCGGCAAGGAAACCAAAGATGCCACCACTACTTGGAGGCCCTTTTGACTTAGTAAGTAGGGTTAGTAAGGTGGGTTATGGGGATTATAATAGGGTTTCTAGGGGATACTAAGTAGACTTACTAAGTCAACAGGGCCTCCAAGTATTATCCCTAAAGACTCCTAGTTACTCTCCATACTTGCAATGACAACGATAACCTCTATATGCCTCATCTCAACTGAAATATTACAGTATCCCGTACCGTAATCCTTACTACAGTAACGCTTAAAAAACCCTGGCACCCGACTGTACACCCTTCCTGAAGAGAGAATGCTTCGATTTCGTCTGCATCTGCTGCGGCGTCTCGCCGAGGAAGTATGTGGCTTGTGCCAAGCGCACGCTGGGGCACTGGTCCAGATGTCCGATCCTCAGAAGTTTTTATTTGAGGGTTCAGAGCTTAGGGTTTGGTGCTGCTGTGGGTTTGAGGGGGTTTACAGTGCGGTATCGGGTTCTACAGAGGTTTTAAGTGTATGGAGATTCTCAACGGTTTTTAAGGGGTTCACAGCGTCTTGTAGCGCTGTCCAGAGTATAAGGTCTTGGGTCTTACGGTTGCCCTTTTTGGTCCAAAAGAAAGAGCGCAAAGGTCTGATCCTTTGTGGCTGCCTCTTCATCAAGAGCTGCTGAGCCGCACGTTTAGGAATGCCTAGACCCTAAAACCCTGAAACCTTAAATTCCGTATGTAGCTGATTTCGGGTGGTACTTTACGGTTCAAGTGTCAGCCCTTCTCCATGAAATTTTGGGGCTTCGGGTTTAGGGTTTGGGGCTTTAATGCACCTTATACTTGAAGGGTCATGGGACTTAGTAAGGTGGGGTTATAAATAAGGCAACTATACTTATGACTACTTATAGCCCCAATTAAGGCACTTGTAACCCTACTTGCTGAGTCCCATGATCCTCCAAAAAAGGACCTGAAAAGTGTATGAGGGCCGAAACTTTGCACCACCCAGAGCCTTAAAACTTCAATCCCAGACCCCTTAATCCTCAAACCCTTAGTCCCTAAGCCCTAATCCCTAAACCCTAAACCCTGGACCCCGAACCTCAGCTCGTACGCCCCAATGAGCCCTAATTTTTTTTAAAGCTCTGAGGACTCATATTTTGAGACTTTTGGGCTCAAGGTCATGCTATACAAGGCAATTGAGCTATTTTGAAGCTGAGGGTTTGCCCCAGACCAGGAACACCAACACCCAAAACCCAGAACTCTAAGTAATCCAGTCCTTAGACAAGCCTTCGAACCCTCACCTAAAGGATCAAGGGGCTTAGCAAGTAAATTCTGCGTAAAGTTATAAATACCGGAACTGGGGTTGTCCTGTTAGACAGCCATCTATATAACCAATTGCCTAAGTCATTGGCCCCAAACCCTTATAGAAACCTCTACGGGAGCCAACCTGCGCCGTAAACCCCGAGCCGTAGGCCCGGAAGAACTACTTGGAGGCCCTGTTGACTTAGTAAGTCTACTTAGTATTCCCCAAAAACCCTATTATAATCCCCATAACCCACCTTACTAACCCTACTTACTGAGTCAAAAGGGCCTCCAAGTACGATGACAGCCCAAACCCTGAACTCCAATGCCGACGGTCGAGAGTTTCGGGTTGACCCATAGGCTCCATAGTAGTTCCTTTTGAGATTACCTTATAGGATTCTAAATAGGAACCCCAAAAAAGGAACTACGTCTCATGGAGCCTATGGGTACGCTCCTTCGCCAACGAACTACAATGGTTCGGGTTTAGGGTTCACGCCTTCTCAGAACCCTTGTAGCACCTTACTTTATGACAGCAGATAGAACCATCGTAGCACCTTAGCAGGTTTCGAACGAACCTTTGTCAGTTTAGGGAAACCGTTACAACACCGTGCTGTATACACGGTGCCGGCACGTTGTTTTCGATTGTGTTAAGCCGTAAGCCCCAGTTCTTGCAAACTCCCAACGAGCCTTTTGAAATCGCTGGGCACACTTTCATGCCATATGTGAAGGCCTTCGTTTAAACCGCAAAACATCTAAGTCTGAATCCCGTCACTGGTAGGAACCCGTCTAGAATTCTTGAGGAACCCTCAGAAGACCTTTCAAAGCAAAGAACCCTTCGGGACCCATACAACCCTTTAGGGCACCATGTAACCCTAAATTCTAGACCCCAAACCCTAAACTGTAAACCCAAAACCCTAAACACGCACTTATGAAGACCTCCGTTAAAATCCCAGGCTTTTTCGATGGTCTGGCTGCCAGCAACGGCTTCGTCTTGCGCCGGGACCTGCACCTGTCTCTTCACGGGGCCTCTGTCTGTCCCTGGGCTCCCATTGAGGCTTCAGGGCTTTCAGGGTTTGGGGTCTGGGCTTTGGGTTTTGGGCTTGGGGCAGAAGGTTGGAGGTGTTTACGGGCTTCGTAGTCATTTTTGCAGGCTTCCAGTCTTGTCTAAGGTGCGAGGGGCTGAGGGTTTGGCGTTCTAGGGCTTTGGCGTTTACGGTCTTGTGTTTTAGGGTTTGGGCTTTTGGGGTTTTTGGTTTGGGGCTTAGGATTCTTGAAAAGGTTATTGTAAAGAAAATAGATGGTTTTGGTAATGATCCTACAGGTCTGTTTGGGGTTTTGGGTTTGGGTTACAGTCAACCCGAAACCCTCCCTGAAAGAGAGAATTCTCCCTAAACCATGTCAACCTTAAAGCACCAAAAGTCCTCCCCAACCTCTCAACCCTAAACCCTAAACCTATAGACCATTACACCCTAAACCCTACGCCTTAAAGTCTATATCCGAAGCCCTAAACCATTCAGCCCTAAACCCTAAGCCCCAACCCTAAACCAGGCATCACCCTCATGGCCTTGGCTGGTGCCCTGGGGTCCTACGTCCCCGCGCGGCTGCCCTTCGGACCCCTGGAAGCTCTGCAGGCAGGGCTTCGGGCTGCACTTACAGGGATGTATAGGATTCCTTAAAGGGATCTATAGGGTTTAGGGTTTTGGGTTTAGGGCCTACTTGCAGGGTCATGGGACTTAAGAAGTAAGGTTACTTTACTTGGGGTGATTAGTAAGCACAAGTATAGTTGCCTTGTCAAAAGCCCTAGTGCAAAAGTCCTCTGATCCTCTACAGTAAGTAGGGCATTCCCCCTGGAGTTCCAGGGTGGTTTTGGGGCTTAGGCGTGCAAGCCTTTGGCTTCGAAAGGGCTTGAGGGTTTAGGGCTTTAAAGCCTAAACCCTAAACACTACTTGGAGGCCCTTTTGACTTAGTAAGTAGGGTTAGTAAGGTGGGTTATGGGGATTATAATGGGGTTTCTAGGGGATACTAAGTAGACTTACTAAGTCAACAGGGCCTCCAAGTAAGCCCTAAACCCTAAAAAGGCTTCTTTAACGGTTTTGGCTTTAGGGTCGAAGCCTTGAGGATGCCGGCTTTTGGGGGGGTACTTGGATGATCATGGGACTTAGTAAGCAAGGGTTCCTTAAAGGGCTCCTTAAAGGATCTATGGGGTTCCTTATAGGGATCTATAGGGACTATAGAGCTTAAACTTAGGGACTACTTGGAGGATCATGGGACTTAGTAAGTAACGTTATAAGTGCCTTAATTGGGGTTATATGTACTTACAAGTATATTTACCTTATTTATAACCCCACTTACTAAGTCCCATGACCCTTTAAGTACGGGCTTTCGGATTTCAGGCTTTACGAGGGTGGATGCTTTTAGACCCTCATAGGGCATGGTTACAACCTTCCCACATCCGTACAGAACCCTAAACCCTAAACCCTAGAAGACGTATCGCTCCAGCGACCAACCCCAAAGACACACACGTCTTCTAGGGTTTAGGGTTTAGGGTTCTGTACGGATGTGGGAAGGTTGTAACCATGCCCTATGAGGGTCTAAAAGCATCCACCCTCGTAAAGCCTGAAATCCGAAAGCCCTTACTTAAAGGGTCATGGGACTTAGTAAGTGGGGTTATAAATAAGGTAAATATACTTGTAAGTACATATAACCCCAATTAAGGCACTTATAACGTTACTTACTAAGTCCCATGATCCTCCAAGTAGTCCCTAAACCCTAAGCTCTATAGTCCCTATAGATCCCTATAAGGAACCCCATAGATCCCTTTAAGGAGCCCTTTAAGGAACCCTTGCTTACTAAGTCCCATGATCATCCAAGTACCCTAAGCCGTCCTTTTTGACCCTTCATCAGTTAGGGGCCTGAACCTTCATAAGGCATGGTTACAACCTTCCCACATCCCTACAGAACCCTAGAAGACCTTGAACCCTATACCCTACTTGGAGGCCCTTTTGACTTAGTAAGTAGGGTTAGTAAGGTGGGTTATGGGGATTATAATGGGGTTTCTAGGGGATACTAAGTAGACTTACTAAGTCAACAGGGCCTCCAAGTATAATCAGGCTTGCATGGGACCGTTGCTGCTCTCGGCTGTCTGCCTGGGAGCAGTCGGCGTGCTCCGCAGCGAGACTTGGGAGCTTCCGAAAATCGGGGGGGGGGGTACCTTATGTGGGGTTCCTTTAAAGGGTTACTATAAGGGTACTATAAGGGTTACTATAAGGGCTACTATAAGAGTTTATATGGGAGTTTCCGAAAATGAGGGGAACCTTCAAAGGGATCCTTTAAGAGTTCCTTAAAGGGATCTATAAGGGTTCTATTATCATAAAGGGTCTAGGGTTTAGGGTTTCCGAAAATAAGGGGTACCTTATGTGGGGGTCCTTATAATAAGGAACCTACTGTTTCGGGTACCATATGAGGATCCGCTATTTTCGGAAACCCCCACTTGGTTCGGCTTTACACGGGTTTCACAGGGACTCTATGAGGTTTTCTATGGTTCATTGTTCTACGGGTTAAGGAACTTAGTTTAAGATGTCTCAGCAAGGATTTAAACTAGACTGGACATTTTCCTTGCCATGGCCATGCCAAGCAAGCTTCTCAGCAAGAGCCCAGGAAAGCCTTCCATGGTTCATGGGTGCCACCTGCTATGCAGAGGTTGCGACTTGGGTGCTGCAGAGGCAACCTTTCACCTTTTCGGCATGGGGTTAAGGTATTAGGATTGATTTAGCGTCCAGGGTTGGTCTTATGCTATTGGTGCAGGATTTGGCATACAAAACCCTACAGCCCTAAACCCTAAACCTCTAAACCCTCAACCCTACACCCTGATGTTAAGCTTTTTCCAACCGGGTCATCAGCAAAAAATCGAAGCCCTCAAGTGAGCCTCCGAGCCGGACTCCAAGTCCTGAAACGTACAGCCCTCACCCAGAAAGCCCAATACCCCTTGATTAAGGGATATACCTTAAGTTATAGGGGCCTTAATATGATAATTTAAGGTACATTCCTTAATTAAGGGGTATTGGGCTCTCTGAGCGACCCCTAAACCCTAAATGCTGAGATCCTAACCATCAAACCCTGAAGCTCTTGGACCCCACGACTCTGAAGTCTACACCGCGACAGAACCTTACGGAACCCTCAACCCCAACCCTACCCTAAACCCTAAACCCTATAACCCCTAACCCCTATAAACCCTAAACCGTAAACCCAAACCCCTAGAAAAGGTGATCTGGACTCATTCCTAACTCCTAACTCCAAACCCTGAGCCCTAACAAAAGGTGATCTGGGCTTCTTACGTAACCCAAACCCCCTAGAAAAGGTGATCCGGACTCCCCTAAACCCTAAGCCCTATCTCCTAACCCTAAACCCTATAAACCCTAAGCCTAAAACCGTTAGGCCAAACCCCTGGAAAGGGTGATCTGGACTCCCCTAAACCCTAAGCCCTGACTCCTAATCCTAAACCCTTAAGACTGCTTGATCTGGGCTCCTTATGCAACCCTAAACCCTTAAGAAAAGGTGATCTGGACTCTTTAGGTAACCCTAAACCCTAAGCCCTAACTCCTAAACCCTGAGCCCTAACAAAAGGTGATCTGGACTCCTTATGTCTCGGCGCTCTGCCAGTTTACCGAGGGCATTGAGGACATCGCAGGCTCTGCTGCGTCCCTGCTCACGGCCCTCTCCTTCCTGGGAAGCTCCCTGCACTCTTACTTGAAGGATCGTGGGACTTAGTAAGTGGGGTCATGAATAAGGCAACTGTGCTTATAACTACTTATAACCCCAATGAAGGTACTTATAACCTTACTTACTAAGTCCCATGATCCTCCAAGTAGGGTTTAGGGTTCAGGGTTAACCCACCCGAACCTACTTTTTTCGAGGGCTCATACTCTAAACCTTGATTTCGGTTTTATAGGGATCCTACAAAATAGGTGGTTTCGGTGGGTTAAAGTCAACTTGGCCCTGAACTCGACTTGGAGGCCCTTTTGACTTAGTAAGTCTACTTAGTATCCCCTAGAAACCCTATTATAATCCCCATACCCCACCTTACTAACCCTACTTGCTAAGTCACAAGGGCCTCCAAGTAGACCCTTGACTGGTTACGGCTTTGTTTTTGGAACGTTAGGCTCAGTATCTTGAGGGGTCAGACAGGGTTGTCGGTCTAGTTTGTAGGCTTTGAGCTTTAGGGTTTCGATTTAGGGCTTTTATTGAGGGGTTATGGCACTCAGCATGTAGCATGGTTTGTTAATCTAGAAGCTTGAATAATTCGTCATACAATTCCTTAGGTTCTCTTATTCTGCTATATTCCTTCCCCCGATACTAAATCCAAAACAACATCGACATGCAATGCTTCTAAGCCACTTTTAACGGAACCCTTGAAAGGAACCCTATGCTTGTTCAGCTCCAAACCCTAAACCTCATTCAATCGATTCAGCCTCTTACAGTATCCCTGAAAGGAGCCCTTACAGTAAGAGAGCCCTTGAAGAATCCTGCAACATTGGGGTCGACTCCTTGCCTGCCTCCTTTGCTGAGGTTCCTTCGTCCTAAGCCTTATACCCTCAAACCCTAAACCCTCAAACCCTGAACCCTGAACCCTAAACCCTAAACCCTCAACCCCTAGCGCCAGACGGTCTAGAGCTTGTGGAAGAAGAAACCCTCAACCCTAAAGCCCTGAACCCTAAACCCTAAACCCCATGACAACAAGAACGACAGTAAGAGCAGCTGAGGTTCCTTCGTCTCGCTTTCCGTGGTTTTTCTGGCACAACGAGAGGGAGCCGGCGGCTTCCTTCTGGCCTTGGGCTCAGGAGCAACCCAGACCTTCCAAAATCCCTTCCTAGTGTTCCTAGGGTTCCTCTAAAGGGTACTATAAGGTCTCCTTTAAGGGATCTAGTCTATAGGGTTTAGGACCCAGACCTTCCAAAATCCCTTAATTAAGGAATATCATATTAGGGATCCTACTATAATTTATAGGTATATTCCTTAATTAAGGGGTATTGGGATCTCTGGGTCCCTACTAGCCTTGGGCTCAGGAGCACTAGGATGCCCTAAAAGGGTTTAGGATGTTAGGTTTAGGGTTTTAGGGTTTTTAGGGGTTTAGGGTTTAAGGGTTTAAGGGTTTAGGGTTAGGTTTAAGACTTCAGGGGTTTTAGTTTCACCGGGTTTAAGGTTTTTCGGGTTAAGGGTTTAGGGTTTTTACAAGGTTGTAAAGTCTATAGAACTCCGATATTTGCTTTGAACCCCCCCCAAAGATCCTGCAAAGCCACCCGATGCTTCCCTGAAAGACCTGTCTAGATTTCCTTTTATGCGATCTCTGCCCTAGAAAGGGTCTTGACAGCTCCAAACCCCCTCAACCCCTCAATGCCCAAAAAGCCGCAAACCCTACAGCCTAAAGCCCGAAACCCTGAACCCTAAACTCCTAAGCTCCTAACCCCCAACCCCCTTAAAAAGAAGCCTTAGACTCTAAAGCCCAATGCCTTGGCAGCTTTGCTGCTCCTCACCTAAACCCTAGACTAGTTCTAATCACTCTAATCCCTAACCCCAATTCCTAAAAAAAACCCACCGCCCAGAATGGATCCCTAAGAACCCAAGGCCTTGGGCGCTTTGCTGCTCCTCACCGCCATCAGCCTCTGGTTGGGCCCCCTGCGAAGCATCGAGGTTCCGGAGGAGGGATCTCCAAAAAGGACTGCCCGAAGGCTTCGTTTTGGGTTTAGCGTTTAGGGTTTGGGTTGGGATCTAGAACCCTAAACCCCTAAACCCTAAACCGTAAACCCTAAACCATAAGGGCAGTTGCAGGGTTCCTGTAAGGGATCTATCTCTAGGGGTTTCTTGAAGGGTTGACCGTTTGGGAATTGAGTTTAGGGACTAGAGTGATTCGAGTCCAGGGTTTAGGGAGGGATCCCCAAAAAGGATTACTGTAGGGACCTTAATAATGACTAACCATTGATATTATGGGAGCTAAGGAGCCAGGGATGATGATAATCCCTATTAAATAAGGAGCTAAAGAGCCAAGGGAACCCCCAAAACCACTGGTTAGGTAGGGTTACATAGGAATATAGCCGGATGTTTATGAATCTTGTCCTAGACCTCTATATTGGCCTTTGCGTTTTTTATCTTTCGGGGTTTATGGCTTGGGATTTAAGGTTTTGGGGCTTTCTTGTTTTTGGGGTTTAGGGTTTTCCAAAGAAGGAGCCCTTTGGCGAGCGCGCTGACGCCCGAAGGGTACATCGCCGCCCTAGCCGCAAAGGGAGGGGACTGCAGCCCCAGAAAGGTGCGTGCACGGCCACCGGAGTCGGATTCCCCCTAGTGGAACCCGAAGACCTATAGATCTAAGACTAGTAGAAGTAGAAATATACAGACACCCTAAACCCTAAACCTTACGGTTTTAGTATACATATATCTCTATATATATATATATACACTGTTTGTATATCAGGAGGTCTTCATGGGCATAAGGGCTTAGGCAGAGTTATGCAGAGCTTCAGCAGGCTTTACAAGGGCGTCATAGGGTTTGCAGTAGTGAAGGTTTTCGAGTAGGGTATCTGTAGTCAGATTGACTCATCTCCCGGAACTCAGGCTCATACCCACTTCGTGTGAATATGCCTTGCTCGTAGTCTTACCACATTTAAAGGAGCATGGGACTTAGTAAGTGGGGTTATAAATAAGGTAACTACACTTATAATTACTTATAACCCCAATTAAGGCACTTATAACCTTACTTACTAAGTCCCATGATCCTCCAAGCAGCTCCAGAAACTCACAGCCTCCATTCAAGTAAGTGTGCAGCCCTTCCCCTGACTGATGTGGGGGTTTCCGAAAATAGGGGACCCAAATATCATACCCTGAATTGTAGGGTCCTTATTATCAGGATCCCACAATAAGGTACCCCCCAATTTTCGGAAACTCCCATGTAAGCATGGGTATAGCCTCTCATAGGTAAAGTCGTGCACAGACTAGCCGTGAACTTTTCCAGAAATCTCCAGACCCTTACAAACCCAAGACCTAAACCCAAGACCTAAGCCCTGTGAAACCTACTCTTCGGGGTGCTTGATTTTTCAGCTTTTGTCTGCAAAAACTGATACCTCAAGAAACAGCCAAAATACAGCTTCACGGAAGGGTGCTATGATCAGTAAAGTAGCCATAAACCCTAAACCCTTAAGCCAAGTAGGATCGATTGCTGAACGGCTCTGCGGACGCTCGGCACAAGTCTGAGCTCGGCTTCTGGAGAGAAACAGCTTGCATGCTGGCTTTGCCATGAACTTTACTATCACTACTACTGTCATGCCTACTATTGCTACTGTTGTCACAACTACTCTTACTAGTACTGCTTGCAAGTTATTGCTACTGCAACCACTACTTGGAGGATCATGGGACTTAGTAAGTAAGGTTATAAGTACCAGCATTGGGGTTACAAGTAGTTATAATTATAGTTGCCTTTTTAATAACCCCACTGACTAAGTCCCATGATCCTTCAAGTAATTAGCATCATCATTACACTTGCTTCTTTCTGCACCTGGCATCCGAGGGTCGAGAAACCCAACGCCTTTCTCGCTGCGTCCCCGGATCCTTCTCGGCAACTTTCCCCTTCGACCCTAAACCCTCAACCCTAACCCCCTGAATCCTAAACCCTGAACCCTCAACCCTAACCCCCTGAATCCTAAACCCTGAACCCTGAACCCGAAACGCTGAACCCGAAACCCTGAACCCTGAACCCGAAACGCTGAACCCGAAACCCTGAACCCTGAACCCTAAACTCCCTAAACCCTGAACCCTAAACCAAAACCCCCAAGAAACGCAGACACAAGCGATGACAAAGTCTCGGCGGAAGAATCAGGGAGTTGGCTCCGAAAGTAGACACGAAGCCCTCGCTAAGACTCTACTTTGAGGATTATGGGACTTAGTAAGAAGGGAGTTATAAATACCTTACAGTAATTGAGTTTTAAGTAGTGGTAAGTACAGTTGCCTTATTTATAATCCCGCTTACTAAGTCCCATGATCCTTTAAGTAGACACCCGTTGCTGCTGCTGCTGCTGCTGCTACTGCTGCTGTTGCAGCATGCTGCATCTCTGCAACGTCTCAGGGGGATTCCGTTGTACATAGCTGTTTTGCTTAATGGTCACCGGCAACCTCCGTGTTCAGACTATCCTAAGCCTGAGAGGTTTGGATACTTTACGAGAGCATTCCCTTCTATTGTTCCTGTTTTCTGTATAGCCACTTACACTATATTTGCCACATGACCCCATTCTACTTGTCACACCAAGGCCACTGACGAGGTTTAAACATACAGGGAACTCCAGAAAGTTGGAATATGGTTTCATGGTAGGATACCCTATAATTTACCATAAAGGGTTTAGGATAATCATATTCCAACTTTCTGGCTTCTACTGTATAGGATTTTCCACCGTTAAGAGGGATTTTCGTGCGGAGCGCCATGGACGAGTTTGACCACAGCCTGGAGGAGCTCGGGCATCCCAGCATGGACCCACAACCCAAAGCTTGAAACTTAAAACTTAGGGGTATTTAGAAATAATTTTTAATTTTTGGTTATTATAATCCCTAAGAAACAGCTAAAATTCTAATTTTTGCTAGGGTTCCAAGTTCAGTATAGAAACCCTGCAAACCCTAGAGTAGTAAAGGCATGTGAACGATGCTCTAAACTCCAGACCCGCGAATTGTTGTCAGAAACAAGCGACCGGAGTCCCTGCCAGATCCTTCAAAAGGCTGCAAAACTCAGAGCACCCCGAGCCCGAGAAGAATCATACTACTTTACGGAGTAAGACGCTCCGCTAAACCTTAAACCGTGGGTGCAGTGCTCACCGAATAAGGTTTCTGTGGGATTGACAGGGAGCCAACAATCTTAAACGCCATCGGTCGACCAACTGGACGGGAGGAGCCCAAACGCCCTAAAGCCACAAACCCCGAAAAAACCCTAGAGCCCTTAAGCCCCAGTACCCTGAACCCTCAAACCCTCCTTAAAGCCCTAAAGCCCTAGAGCCTTAAAGCCCTAAAGCCAACCTTCAAGCCCTGGCCAAGAAGAGTGGGCCTCAAACCCTCAAGCCCTGAATCCTGAACCCTGGAACGCCAAACCTAAACCCTAAGCCCCAAGACCCTAAGCCTTAAAGCCTAAACCCCTACACCCTAAACTCCGTAAACCCTGAACCCCAAATCGTTTCAGCAACCCTTAACGGGACCGAAAGCCCGCACCAGGAGGAGCATGCCCTCAAAGCCTAAACCCTAGACCCTAAACCCTAAACCCATAAACCCATAAACCCTAAACGCACAAACCCCTAGACCCCTAAACCCCCTTTAACGGAACCTAGTACCAGGAGGAGCACCCTGGGAGCTTAATTAAGGAATATACCCTAAATAATATTAGGGCTACTATTGTAATTTCAGGTAAATTCGTTAATAAAGGGGTTTTGGAGTCTCCACGGCCCCTAAACCCTAAACCCTAAACCCTAAACCGTAAACCCTAAGCCCTAAACCCTAAACCTTAAACCGTAAATCCTAAGCCCTAAATAACGGAACCGAGTGCCAGGAGACCCTGGGAGCCTTCCCCAGAACTTCCAAAACCCTTTAATTAAGGGAGTATACCCTAAATAATATTAGGGCTCCTATTATAGTTTCAGGTAAATTCCTTAATTAACGGGTTTTGGAGTCTCTAGGGCCCCCTAAACCCTAAACCCTAAGCCCTAAAGCGTAAACCCTAAACCCTAAATCCTAAGCCCTAAACCCTAAATCCTAAGCCCTATAGTACCAGGAGCCCAGAGACTCCAATATCCCTGAATTAAGGAATATTCCTTAAATCATATTAGGGATCCTACTGTCATTTAAGGTATATTCCTGATTTTGGAAGGTCTTAGTAGTGCCTCCCTTAATTAAAGGGTTTTGGAGTCTCTGGGGCCAGGAGGAGCACCCTGGGAGCCTTCCCCAGAACCTCCAAAACCCTTTAATTAAGGAATATACCCTAAATAATATTAGGGATCCTACTATGATTTAAGGTATATTCCTTAATTAAGGGATATTGGAGTCTCTGGGGCCAGGAGGAGCACCCTGGGGCCTAAGCCCTAAACCCTAAACCCTAAACCGTAAATCCTAAGCCCTGAGCCTTAAACCCTAAACCCTAAACCCACCTTAACGGAACCTAGACCAGGAACCACAAGCTGTTTGTTATTCTGTTTAAGCAACCCCTAACGGAACCCAAACCCAGGAGTAGGGATTAGGGTTCCCATAATATTAAGGAATCCGTACCCCAAGAATCTTAAACCCCCCTTTTGGCCTCCCATCATAGTGCCAGGAGGAGCCTTAAACCCTAAACCCTGAACCCCAAACCCCAAACCCTAAATCCTATAAACCCTAAACCCTAAACCCTGAACCTAGGCGTTGGCTTCAGTGGCCCGATTTGGTAGTTTCTCCTTCGTGAGTCCCATTTCGAGCCCTGCGAGAGCTGACCCAGCGCGGCCGAGGAAGGCCCGCGTGCTTTTCTGATTGATCCTCGGAGCCAGGAAGCAACAACACTGCGCTTACTGTGGGAGCACCGCCCCAATTCTCTTTTTCTGCGCTTAGCTGGAGTAGCGCCCGGACGTGGATGATCATTGCCTACTGGGTGGCGCTCATCGTCACAGTTTTCCACCGTGCCGGCTTTGCCATTCAGGAGAAGGCAAGCCGAGGCCTCGTGGCACCGTCGTGCCCCGCGGCTCCGCACACGCAGCCGCACGGTCTTGCGGACCGTTTTGTCAGGAGGACAACATCCGCTACGTGTGGTACAGGCGGCTATCAGGTGCTTGAAGCAGCACCACTCCGGATCCCAGCTTCCTTCGCAAGCGGAGGTCGAGTTGCGGCTTGCGGAAGACATGGCACAACCGTGGAAGTGCCAGCAGTGTGGCGCGCTGAACAAGCACAGCGCCGCTTTCTGCCCGGCTTGTGGTTCGCACTGGCAAGCTGGCCACTATACCCCACGGCAGGGCACCGAGCAGCCGTGGAGAGGACATTCCCAGGCGCGAGGCTGGGAGAGCGAAGACTGGACGGCGCGCAAGCGACGACCCAAGTCCCCGCGACATGGTGGCAAAGGAGCTGGAAAGGGCAAAGGGAAAGATCACGGCAAGGCCGAGCCGAAGGCACAGCCGGGGGCGCCACCAGCTCCGCAAGCCAAGCAGCTGCCGAAGCCGCCGATAAGACAGCCGATACCGGAACCATCGGCCCCGTCTCGGGAAGCCGCGAGCAGTGGACAGGCATCTGGCGGCTGCCAACGAGAGCGAGCTGAGCCCGCAGCTCAGAGAGTTGTTAGCCCAGCACCGCCAGCAGGAC